TTTTTGTCTCGTTGCTCCGGCCGGACACGGCATCAACAGTATGGTGAGGGGCGTAACATTTCCATCACACGCTTGAGGTATTCGGCCAATCACAACGCACTGGATAGCTGGCCAATCAGAGCACACCTCGCTTTTTCAGACCGATGAGCTTTGTAAAAATTGACGCGTTTCAAAAAGGCGGGGCATAGAGGAGAAACAATAATGTACATTTTAGCAGCATCATATGACCCCTTTAATGTATTTTATTTATTTATTTTTACAGAGGAATTATATTATGACTTTACAGGAAATTACACGCTGTCACACCAATCATTCCGAGCAATCGAGTGATATCGCTTTTATTCAAGAGTTCAATAAACAAGAAGTTAATATGGAGTTACTTACATTTTAGACACAATATTGCAGTTTCTTTGTTAATTATTGTTCCACCAACAAAAATAGTTCCAAATAAAGCACATCTGCAACACACCGTAATGGCATTTCTGAATAAATCATTGTTTTGATTCAGTTACTTGTTTCGGTCCTTATTAAATCAGTGTATTGAACGAATCGGTTGAGCGTATGATTCAATGAATCACTCATTAAGACAGCCACGCCTTTTGTTTCTGAGTGAATCAGTGTTTTGAACGAATCAGTTGAGTGAATGAATCAATGAGTAATTCATAAAGACAGGCACTTTCGTTCATAAATAGCCTATATGCTTTCTTTTTTTTCTCTCTCTGTTGTAGTAGGGCCTAATGTGTATTATTAATAATTGTATGTCAGTCTGTAAGGGGTTTTCACATATTTTATCTTGCAATGTTTTCAAAGTTTGAATGCAGAATGAGCGAATCGGATTCACTCACTTGTCGCCACATTCTGGCATAACAATATAATCTACAGGAAGATTCACAAAAAATTCTACAACACAGACTGATAGTCGGTCTATACACAACATGTAAATACTGACAGGCAGAGTGATTCAAACAGTGAAAAGTCCCAGTGCTGTTCTGGATATGGCTTTTCAGTCACTTACATTACCTGTAACTCGTATTCGAGGAAAACAATAAGAGGCTCTGAGCTACAAAAACATGTTTTTGTTCCCCTCAAACTACAAAATATTATGTTTTCGCTCCAAATAGTTACAAATCAACAAGATAGCACTGCCATGTCGTTTTATTGTGATTTATTTTAGCTATAAAACAACATAGAGTGCTATACATTAGGTAGGGGCTATTAACTGGTAATGATTTTTGTCTTGAAAGTCATTCCTGACCCGCTGGGGGGGGATTGTTATGAGGACAACAATCTAGTGTTGTCCTCATAACTTCCCTGACCAATTGGCTCGCCAGTCTCTGCCAAATGAGTCAGCTGTCCCTTCCAGGGTCCAGCCCAACGCTCTGCCAGAATAATGCCACAGATAACGGCTCCAACAGGGGGCCATACCTCCACAGAAGCCACTTGGCCATCATTCAAACTAGTAAAAAACAGGGATATAGAAAACAATGATTTAAAAGAGGAGTGCAGATGGATTTGCCTTTCATCAACATAAAACTGATTAGTTGCTATATGAGTGATTCCATCTGTTATGGAAGCTTTTGGGATTGATGGATGAGGGGTTGATGTGACTGAGGTGAGTAAAAGAAGAGATGTCCAGACCTCATCTCAACACAGTCCACCCTTCTGGAATCAATTGAGCTAGCTTAGGGTATCGTGTTCACACACAGCCTCGATTTTATGCCCAATCAGCAAAATAACTGGAACACAGCATTAAAAATGAAAGAACCAAAGTATTAAACTCACAGAAATTCATAGCAAACTCTAATTGATATGTTCTATATAAAATAAAAATGCAGAAAAAGCAGACTTCTGCTTTGTGTGGTATTGCTTTAAAATAAACCGTGTGTGTGATTGATGCCTCTGCTTCTTCTGTGGATTCAATTTATTTGAAAATTTAAGGGATGGGTCTTACTGAAAGCTGGTGAGTAGGATTTACTGAGAGACCTTGCGTGCATGAGGATTTGTTGAATCATAAATTCCCCAATATGTAGTGTGCATTGAAGAATGAATTTAAGTTAAAGATAATTAAAGATGAAAACGGCACCTCAAAACAGATAAAAAAAATTTTTAAGAACAATATAGTATCTTAGTTTTGTAAATCAGTGCAGGCCCAAGGAAAGAACAAAGGTGCTTTAAGTGAACAATGAAGACAATGCTGCCATCTGCTGATCAAAGTAGCCATTTCTGCCAATACAGTTTGACTACCTTTAATATGGAGCCTACAATACCAGTAAAAATTTTGAATATTTAAGATTTATGTTTTTTTTGGGAAGAAAGCTCTTATTCCCACCAATGCTGCATTTATTTAAGCAAAAAGTACAGTAAAATAGTAATATATATATATATATATTTTTTTTTACCTCAGCAGTCATTACTCTAGTTTTCGGTCACGGTGTCACATGGTCCTTCAGAATTCATTTTAACATGCTGCTGCTCAATTATTAGCAGCATTTATTTATTTATTTTTAAATAGAAATTTCAAAGGAACAGCATTTATTTAAAATAGAAACATTAAAAACATTTCTGAAAGATCATGTGACACTGAAGACTGGACTACTGGCTGCTGAAAGTTCAGCTGCCATCACAGGAATAAATTACATGTTAATATATATAATTATAGTAAACAGTTTTTTTTTAATTGTAATAATGATTCACAATATTACTGTTGTACTGTATCAAATAAGTGCAGCCTTGTTGAGCATGAGCGACTTCTTTCAAAAACATTAAAAAATCAGAATTATTTCAAACTTTTGACTGGTACTGTACATTATTATACATACTATATACATTTATATTGATTTACAAAAGTAAATTACATATTATGTTTTAACAAAATATTTAATCTACAAATTTCAGATATTTTCTAATTTTCACCCTTTACTCTTTATAGCATTCAGAAATTTTAGTAGGGTGACCAGTCCAAAAGATGTTCTCATGCGAAGCATAGATATCAATATCAATCATATCAATCATGCACAGTTTATTCAATTATCCAAGACGTGTTATTTGTTGGTTAACAACATATATAAATAGTATATAAAAGAAACACATATTCACCTACAGAATGCCAAATAAATAAAAATGACCCTTTTCACTCTTCTTCTCTATCATGATCTACTACGCACAAATTGTCACTAGATGGCGACAGAGTATGTGTATTTTTTTTTCTCTCGTTCCACCACCTTTTTATTTTTTTTTCAACGTGGCAGATGGCATAATGAAAACAATTTAATGCCAGAGAAGTCTTTAATGAAGCTGCAGGGCATGTGTGCTGTGAATGCATCTGAAGGGCATTAAAGACTGTAGTAATGCGGGTGTTTTTTCTGCAGTCTCTCAGTGAATGTGCGCATGTTCTCGACCTGAGAGTTCACAGTGTTAAGTAGGTCAAACTCAGCGGTCAGACGTGACGCTGTCGCCTCTAGAGGAACGGTCTGTCATAAACCTCACACTCCACAGTCCACAGTGTTAAATAGATCAGTCACAGCAGGTCACACACGAGAGCAATTTGTTCTGTGAAGTGTGTAAGTGTACGTGTGCGCTGTAAATAATAATGTAAAGTTATTTTTTACCGCAGTAGTAGCCTAGAATGATATTTGGTGTTGGGGGTTTTCAAGCTTTTAGATGCTACAAACCCCAAAATATGATCACCCCCCTCCTAAATATATTTTCATGTATAAAGACACATTGTATGTCAAATTTAATATTACAAATGTGCGAAATATTTTGTTACATTATTACTTATTTTCTTTTTTTGCTACTCAGGTACTGTATACTATTAAATGTATTTATTTATTTTTAACAAACATTTTATTATTTGTTTAGCTTATTCTTGTTATTTGTTTAATTTAGTTTAATTGTAACCTTTTTTTTAACATTTTTTTAAACTTTTTTTGTCATCTTTCTCTAAACCTTTCTATGGACCCTCTAACACTCCCTTGCAGCCCCGATCATTTCATGTACAAAGACCCCATTTATATTGTAAAAATTAATATTATGAGTAAATATTATTTGAAAAAATATTTAGTTTGTATTATGTTACATTATTACGTTTTTTCCCTACTCACTAAGATGATGTAGATGTAGCCTATTTATTATTTATAATAAATGATTTTGTTTATTTAAAAATATTTATATATTTCTAAATAAAAATTATTTTTAAGCAATATTTTTTTTCTTAACTTTTCCATGAATCCCTAGCACTCCCGTGCAGCCCATCATTTCATGTGTAAAGACCTACAGTGTTTTAATACTGTAAAAATGAATATTATGAATGTGTAAAATATAATTTGAAAAAGATTTATACTATGTTACATTACTGCGTTTTTTTCCCCTATACTCACTAAAGTACTGGACAGTTTATTTATTTATAAATGTATTTATTCTTTGGATAAAAGCGTCTGCTAAATGACTAAATAAATAATAACTATTTTATTAATAGAAAATTAAACATTTCATTTAATAAATTTAATCTTATTTAGATTATTTATTAATATGTTTATAAATAAATATTTATGTTTATTTAAAAATAGTTTTAAATGTATTTTGTTTTTCCTCTAAACTTTTACCCGGACCCCTTAGCACTCCCGTGCAGCCCCTCATTTCTAGCATAAAATCTAACGTTATTGACTCTAATTGTATAGACACTGACCTCAAATTTGCTTTTGAAATCGTCCTTAGAATATATATGATACGAGTCTTTATCAGTTATACACAAATCACACAGCAAGTCCCTCCCAATAATGCCTTACCTCAGTTTTTAATGTTTCACATGTGCTGAACATTGGCATATTTTCATCCACATAGTATAGTTTCCATTCCTCTCCATTTCTGTCTTAGAAAAAAAAAGATAATTCCGTTATTATGAACATCATCACAGTACTGTATCTCTCTGCCTCGCTTTTCTCTCTATCTGGCAAATTGTGTGGGTCTGGGACAAATTTGCAAAGCAGTCGGCTCTCTGTTTTGCATTAATTCCTCCACAGAGCTTCAAAAGGCTCAGGTCTTTGGTTAAAGTTAGAGAGATGTGCAGATGATGTCTGGTGATTGTGGGGTGGAAGAGCTCCAGATCATCTATCTCAGAGCACCATCAAAGATCCTGCAGGGTTTAAGTGTTTAAAAATGGTGGCTCTCAAAAGGAATGTGCTTTGAAACAACAAACGGCAGACCTCTTTAAATACGTCTGAATTTACTCCTGTGTTTATCTTAATTCTATCCACGATGTACAGTAAAATGGAAACAAATACATTCCCTATGATTTTGTTCCACATAAAGCCTGAAGAACATTTACGACTGCTGCTACTGAAATGAGAATTGACCATATACAGATCTGGTAGTCAGTTACAATTACAGAAATACATCCAACTGCTCAATAATTCACTTAACCGGACAATTCAAAAATGCACATATTGTGAATAGTTTATGCTTTGAATGTTATAATACACAAATAATGACTATGTTCTACTGTACTGTAGTGTATTATTACAGTACATGCATGCTTATTACACTGAATTATATTATGACTGGGAAACCTTTTTACAAAGCTATTCTCTTTCTGCCTTTCTGTAAAAAAGCAGGCCTGGAAAATTCGTGTACACCGCTGAAATATTTAATGCAAGCATTGCAATATTCAATGGGTTCTAATGACCCCCTATTTCCACTTTCGCATAAATGTATAAAGGTTTTGTGAATTTTTTTAAATGTATATTTTAAGCAAAGTTAAAATAGCATATCTAACTCTTTCACATACATCCCCCCCCCCTTTTTTTTATGATGATAATAATCATTATTATCATTAATTTATATAGTAGCTTTCCAAAAGTCACTGTACACACAACAACAACAACAAATAATAATAATATAAATCTATACAGAAAAGACAAGAAAAATACTGTCTGTTTTTAAAAATGATATACAGTACATTTGTATAAATTGTACATTGTGAAGAGAAAAAAAATAGTTACTTCATGAATTTACCTTATTTAGTTACATTTCAGGCAAATGTCCTCAGAAAAATCCAAGCGCACAGTCCAAGTGATCATTCAGAGTAGTGCAGTTCGGCTCAGGTCTGCTCTCACACACTGTCTCCTGCAGTCTGAATCAACACTTTGACAGTAATCTGACAAAAAGCTTCCACACCTGACCAGCCTTCATGTCAGAACTGTCCTAATGATGAAGAACTCTATGAAAGTTAACTGTTTAAAAAGGCTCATAGGTTTCAAAATATTATTACTATGTTGAAATGTTAAAATGTTTTTCTTCTTGGTAGGACTCTTTTTCCCTCTCTTTCTTTTTTTGTTGTTGCTGTTGCTGATTGTAAGAGTGTGTAAAGCAGTTTGTGTCAGTGTTGTTCTTGATGTCTGAAGAAGGCCGTGACTTTATTTTAACCAATAACGTCTAATTCTTTAAGAGTGAGTGTTGCACCTTTTCCCTTTTTACATTTACAAAAAAAAAATTTGTTTTATGGTTGCACCTTCTCTTGTGTTGGATACAAAAATTTTGTTGGGTAGTTGAAAAGTTAGTAAGAAAAGCAGAGTAAGAAAATGTATTTTATACAGTAAACATAAATTACATAATCTATACATAGAAAATTTCAGCATTTAAAAAAATCGGATTTTTTTTTTTTTTTCTAAAAAAAAAAAATCATCATGTAATTATTAAATATTATTTTCAAAATAACATTCCAGTTATTAAGCTGCCATTTTTTTGTCATGTTTTTAATAATAGCCTAATAATCCATAAAGCAAAGATCAATTGATCTGAGATTCAAATTTGAACGAGATAAAGAATTTAGTAAGGTTTGTTCTTGAAACATTGCTAAAGAGAAAATAAAAGCATTTTAAGAATGTGTAGGTAATTGTATCACAACAAATATGCTTAAGAAAATAATTTAAAAAGTGTTTATTTTTTGTTTTACTGTTACAAATTCTCAAATCATCATTCTCTCTCTATATATATATTTTTAATCTGTATTATATAGCTTTAAATGTTATTATTTTTAGTAGTTTTATGAATAGAAATATCAATATTTACATGAACTATCACTTTTACGGCATGAAATCAAAACTTAATGTGACATCATGACTTGACTTTCCTATCAAGGCTATCATACTTCTGTTTATTTTTTCACACAGCATGATTTAACATGAATAATATTTCCCTGATGCGAAAAGCTGTCATTGTGAGCGCAAGAACGCTCTTTTTGAACTGCTCTCACTCTTAACGATTCTCTGTAATGGTTCACTTGAATGGCGTTTCTAATATTTGACTGTATAATATTTGTACTGACAGAGTGCAAATATGAGAAATGTTAGCGATATGGAAATAAGTCTTTCCAGCATGGGATGATTCAACTAAAATATACACGACCAGAGCAAAGCCAGAACAAACCATCTGCTGTAAATGGCTTCCACTTGTGATAGATGGATATTCACAGTACGACGTGGCCATCAAAATCGCCCAAACGTTTCAGTTAGCTGCACACGCCATGGCCTGGAAAACTCACTGATTGCACTTTGATTGACCTAATATAAAAATAGGCTAACTGCAGGTCGCATATGTGGAACAGTGAACATTAGTGGCCATTCAAATAAGTGAATCACAGAGCGGCACACATGGCCACTGTTTACATAGATTTGTAGTTTCCGTATTTCCTTAGCATGACCACAGCATGATCTTTTAAAAATGCGATTCAAAAGCAATGATGTGTGAGCGCAAACTATTGTGGTTAGCAAGCACCATCTCCGTCATGACCATGAATGAAAAAGCAAAGGGCGTTTCCATTAATCTAGATATTTCACGTGGAGTCTGGTCACTTTCATGTGCATTTCCAGTGAAAGATGGTCGTCGGGTTTTTGGTCGCATTCTGTCGAGGGTCTGGCGCTGGTGCTGTTCCTGCTGAGCCCGTGGTGGCAGTGGTTAACAGGGCGTAAAGGAGAGAGAAGCAAAGGAGGTCGGGATTAGACGAGAAGAACTGTTGAATTGTCAGCAGGTTGCACACTGAACTTCTGAACTCCTACTTCTACTAGCAGTGGCTGCGGGTTTTTTTTACGCATGCCAGTCTCGGAGAGGTCAGTGAGAGGTCGTGGGGCTTTCACACATTGGCCCGTTAACGAGGCCTCCGATGCGGGGCGAGCTGTGAGGAGACACTGGGATCCGGTCGGAGAGAACAGCAGGAGGGGGAGCGCAGACAAACCCAAACACCCCACAGGAACATCAGCACAAAGACTGCAGCATAAAGGCCGGTCCTGTGAGGAGTGATTTGGGGCGTATAAATGCCTTCAATGTCAACTTTCTACAAAGATATTTCAATTTAGTCCTGTCCTTAGTGTAATTTTACATTAGTTTAGCAAGCTGGCTAGACTGCAATGAGTGGGAAAATAAAACAACTGGATCTTAAAACATTTAAACCAACATTCCAGGTTCAGTGCTAGTAATTTCATTAATAATTACAAAGAAATAGTAAGCAGTGAATTAAACATGAAATATTTGTAGTTGAAAACAAATAGAATTTCTTGTAAAATGTACTACAATAATCGTTGTTTTATTTAACACTTAAAAAATTAAGTTGCGTCATTGTAAGCTGGGTAATGTTGATTACCACAAAAAATAAGTTTGGCTCATCACTTGTTTTCTTTAAAAAAAAAGATAAATATTGAGGTGACGTTGAGGCACTTGCAACAGAAATGAAAGGACAGTCTTTTGAAGATTCAAAAGCAATTATTTCATAAATTACTTACATGAATTCTCCTGTTAAGTGCATTATTTGGACTGTAAAACTGTTTAAGTACATTTGTATAGGGTTGATTGCATCGTCATAGTGACAGGTATTTATTTCTTTATTTCTTTTACTAAGCATATTTTTCCACACTAAAACCATGTTAATGCACATATTTTGCTGCTATTTTATTAAAGGTGGGGTATGTATTTTTTTTAAAACGCTTTAGAAAACTGATTCGGGCCGAGTACCAAAACAAACTTGTAGCCAATCAGCAGTAAGGGGCGTGTCTACTCATGATGCGGAGGAGAGAGCGCTTAGTGCACAGGACAGACATTAGCCGAGCAAGCAGACAGAAAGATAGAGATGGCGGATAAAAAACAAAAGAGGAAAACGTCTGCGGAACAAAAGAAGGCTTAAGGCAA